AACTGCTGTGTTTTTCCAACTCTTGAGCAATCTGGAAGGCCGCTGATGTGGCTTCTGTTCTTGTATTTTTTGTTTTTTTCCACTTTATTGCTGACTCTTGTAAGCAGGGAACTTGCAAAATAAAACCAGTGATCAACAACACATTCTCTCATGGAATAGACATTCTGTTTCCTTGATAACAAGGCATCCAATAACTAAGCCCACTATTGGAAAAATCATCCCAGCTATAAATATAAAATGATGGGGTCTAAATTAGTAGTTACCACTCAAGAAAGAGATCTTGGAGTCATTGTGGATAGTTCTCTGTAAACATCCACTCGTGCAGCGGCAGTCAAAAAAATGAACAGAATGTTGGAAATCATTAAGGGATATATAATAAATATAAAATATCATATTGCCTCTATATGAATCCATGGTATGCCCACATCTTGAATACTGCGTGCAGATGTGGTTGCCCCATCTCAAAAAAGATATATTGAAATCAGAAAAGGACAACAAAAATGATTGGGGTATGGAACAGGTTGGATATGAGGAGAGTATAATAAGACTGGGACTTTTCAGCTTGGAAAAGAGACAACTAAGGGGGAGGATACGATAGAGATCTATAAAATCATGACCGGTGTGGAGAAAGTAAATAAGGATGTGTTGTTTACTCCTCCTAACACAAGAACTGGGGGTCGGGGGGGGGGGGTGTCACCAAATGAAATTAATAGGCAGCAGGTTTAAAACAAACAAAAGGAAGTATTTTTTCACACAATGCACAGTCAGTCTGTGGAACTCCTTGCCAGGGCATGTTGTGAGGGCCAAGAATATAACAGGGTTCAAAAAAGAACTAGATAAGTTCCTGGAGGATAGATTCATCAATGGCTATTAGCTGGGATGGGCCTGGATGGTGTCCCTAGCCTCTGTTTGCCAGAAGCTGGGAATGGGTGACAGGGATGGATCACTTGATGATTACCTATTCTAGTCCTTTCCCCTGGGACACCTGGCATTGGCCACTGTTGGAAGACAGGATACTGGGCTAGATGAGCCTGTGGTCTGATCCACTATGGCTGTTCTTATAGTTGCTCCTTATTAAATATCTTTAGTTACTTAAATTGTTGAGAAATTATATTTAGTTTAATGATTTGAGAGGTACCTAAATAAGACACCCTCTGAGATCTGAACACTTGCAAACTTGAGGGAATTTAGGCCTTCTCCATGGAAATCTGTACAATAAACTGGATTGTTTCTAGTAATCTTTCCATCATGTAAATGAAGATGTTGAGATGGTCAAATGCTCTGTGATAGGAAATAAAATGAAGTTGTGAGAGGCCTAATGCAGGTTGCTCCAGTTGAAGACAAGCTGAGGGAGGCTAGGCTATTGTGCTATGGGCATATCCAGTAGAGATCTGAAAGCTATATCTGTAGGATGGCTCTTGAAATGATCATGGATGGAAGGAGACCAAAGACTCGGTATGTGGACTGGATAGCAGCTGACCTCAGAGAGATCAATCTGGCATATGATCATGTGTTTTAGAAGAAGGCTATAAATGTTGCTCACCCAGAATAGGGAAATGACAAGAAAGAAGAAGAAACTGGATTGTTTCCCATGATGCTAATTCAGTGGCTTTCCAACTTTAATTTTTCAGACCACTTTTTAGATGTCCGTTTAGGGAACCACCTGCATTCACACCAAACCCAAATCCCTCACTGCTTGGTTTCACAAACAGTTTAATGCATGTGGACTACTGTGTAGTTCTCCATAAATTACTGGTGATTATTGACAACCACTTACCATTCTGTCCAGAAATACTCCGAACAGTAAGAGATTTGGTAATGGGACAATTTCTTCCAAAATACTGGACTGGAACACCTTGCTTTCCCTTATCTGTTACAAATGAACTCTGTTTCTTTGAAAATCTGACTTCTAAATGGGAAACCTCATTCTATTCCTAGTTAGATTCAGTGCTTTTTGCATATTGTTGGAAATGACAAGGTTTGCCAAGTAATTGGTCTTTTGAGTATTTTGATGCATTACCTAAACAATACCTAGATGGATGTCACATTCTCCAGAGTTTAGAATAGAGGAATAAGTTCAGCTCTCGGATACCTACTTGTCTACAGTAGAGTACTCACTGTTGCTATCACCAATGTAGTTGCACTGGTGGGAAGCATAATGAATAAAAACAATATAGACACACACATCCTTCATTTTGCCTCACTCCTACTCCCCAAGGCATGTCATTTGATCTGTTCATCCTCTAGTCTAGCTGGAAAAAAGGGTGAAAAACAGGAACTTCAGGGAAATCTGGGTTGTGACTATGAACTGAGCTTTTGTTGGTAAATGCCTAAAATATCAAATGTGAATATTTTATCTTGCTTTGTCTTTTATACATAGCATAAAAATATTTTCATTGTTACCCTTATATGATGTAACCAATGTTGTGGTTTAATTTGAAAACAATATTTATGAAGAGAGTTGCTTTTTAACTGCATAATGCTAAGTGCTAATATCAATGTGTATTGTTTAAATTAGTTTAATTTACTATTATCAGTGACTTAAAATGTTCTACCTCAGCAGTAGGCTATCCTTTTCTTTTAACTCTTGACTTAAAGGAGAATTTGTGTGGATTTTTTTTAATCAATATTTCTAGACAAATGATTGACAAATGCCAGAAAAGGTAGTACAAGCAAATTGGTTTGTGTGCCCCAGTTTGTAAGTCTTAGAAGGCAGAATTTTTCTCTTATTGGGAAAAGATTAGTTTAAAAAACAAACACCCAGAGTATGGATGAAAACTAGACTACTGTCAAAGTAGGTCAGAGAGCTCACCTGCCAAGGTTGACAGTTTTTTTCTTTATATTTCCACTCTTTTTTTTAAAAAGTTACTGAAGACATTAGGATTACTGAGGGGCAGTAAAGTCGAAGGTCCTGTAAACCTTTGAAAAATGATCTGTGTTTGAAAATGGTGCTCAAATGGTGCTCTTCTCTATACTGAATTTGAACATGTTAAGCTAGTCTGTATTGACCCCAGCACATTCTGTTCAATAAACTCTGTCTTGAGATGGGAGAAATATTTTCAAACGCAGCTCGTTTGCTTTACCATGGTGTCATCATATTTCTGTGGCTTAAAACATAGCGTTGTTGTTTTTTATAAGAGCAACTCAGATCTATCTTGTCCAGTTCGTCTCTGTGCAAGCCACTGGGCTCTAGCCAAATGCAATTGAAACTGCTGTCAGATAGCTGCACAAAAGGAATACATGCTACATGAGAAGAATGCAAAGGGGAATTATTGAAATGGCTCAAACATAAGGCAGCTGTGAGAAGGGCTTCCTTGGTTGAAAGTTAATAAACGTTTTTGAATCTTTGACTTGTCAAATAGAACATACTTTTATAGTGTCTGAATTACATTTCAGTGTGCATTCTCACTCCACCAAGAATGTCACTGAAAGAAAACAGAGACAAATAGATTCTTCCTTGGCCTAGTGATATAGTGGTCAGTTGAGGCAAGTTCAAAAGTATGAGTAAAATAGACTGTGTTAGTTTTATGTGCCACAACAACATCAGAATCTAGTGACTAATGAGCTTTAGCTGTGCATTAGTATGTAGAGTAAAGAACAGTTTCAGATTGGTTTGTAGTGGTTGACATTGCAGTGGTAACTGACAGATGTTGTTTATGATGGTTCATTTACAAAATCAAAATGCATAAAAAATGGCTTCATATTTCAGACATTTCTATTGACAGTTCTTCAGAGCAAGATGGGTTTATGTCAAATTTGTGAGCTAATTGTTCCTAATCAGCCAAATGGTGCTCAACCAAATGAAAAGAGAATACATATATTGTGCATTTACCTTTTTAAGTGCACCCCTCCTCCCGTGCACACACCCTGCCTTTGCAGAGCATGCATTTTAACAGACCCCTTATAACAGAACAGCAAACTATGCTGTCGGACTCAGTGATCATCACAGAGTAATGATTAGCATGAGAATGCCAGTTACCTGCATTGTCACTCTAGTGTCACTTTCAGAATCAGCAATGCATTTTGAAGCAGAATACTTAATTGCGGAATATTTGCAACTCTTGTTTCAGACTAGCTGTTTTTGTCTGTTTAGTAATAACTGAGTTCAGTGGTAGAATGAAATTCCATTGCAGCTGCAGAAGTCTTTTGCTTTCACTTCGACCTTGATATCTTTTCTTTTGCTCACTAAAGATAGTGAGATTAGAGCCAGATAAACTCATTCTCTCTTTATTTACACTGAAGACCTTGAAGGGCCATCTTCAACTTTTTAATATTCATTCATTCTCTAGCAATAATGGGTCTTGTCATATTAAACATATCAAACAGCGCAAATACTTAAGATTTTTGTTAGAAGAGAATATGTTAGCCTCATCGTTGTATCTTTATTTTGGTTAACCTTTTCCCATTAAGTTCTCCCCACAAACTGGAGAATGATTTTGTGCTGCACAGTGAGGCATCAGTTTCATGTTTTCCTTTATTTTTTGAGTGAAGCTGGGAAATATGCTTCTGGGTGGCCTTCAATTTGTAGTGCCTGCTATGGGATCTGGCTGCAAGTATCTTCCCGTTTTGGTCCCACTGCTGGAGGAAAAAATTGGGCCAGTCTATGGAAGATAATGTGGTAGCACACCAGACAGGGAGCTTAGAACCCCCGAGTTCTGACGCCAGCTCCATCAGACTTGTGACCATGCACAGTCAGTTTTTCATGTGTCTGCTGACGTTTGGGTATCCACCTTGAGACACTCTGGGCTATCTAACTTCTCAATGGAATCTTACTCAGCATTTCTGCTCCCTGCATATGTGTAGTTTCATCTGCTGTATTTAGTGACAAAAGTAAGATTTATTTATTTTTTCATAGTCTTAAATTACAAACTAGCTTCCAGTCAAGGTGGCAGGTCTGTGATGGGATAACTAGTGGAATGGTGATACCACAAGAGACTAAATACTAAGAAATTGAGAGAGGAAGCAGCAGTAGTCTGGTTTAAAATTTTTTGTTTAACTTCAGTGACCAATATGTTGGCAAAATTAAAAAAGCAGATGGCTATTGGGGAAGTTGCAGAAATATATAGCAATGAAAGGTACTAAACACTAACCCAGTCAGATAGTACAAAATCTTTGTTACATTGAATTAAGCCTCGGATCTATTTTTAAGAGATCGTCAGTTCCCATATGGCAGAATCAACAAGGAGTCCGGTGGCACCTTATGGCAGAACGAAGGTTTGTTTTCCTGATCTAAAAATGTGGCTGCTATAACTTAGACAAGCCCTTCTTCACTTACAGGGAACAATTTTTTTAATTCCATTAAAATCCTGTCTTTATTACTTTATTTCAGATAACATCCAGAACTTACTAGTAGCTATAAAAATATAGACTAGAACTCAGCCCTAAAATGCTTACAGGTGAGGAGGCCTAACCTGTGTCGTCTGCTGAAACCAGTTTTATCATCTGTGCCTCATCCCCCGCTCCAAACAGGTATAGGCAGTCTCCTGTCTTAGTACACACTTCCAGTATCTATTGTACATCACTATAAAATCTCCCAATAAACATGATTAAAGTATATGTGGGGCAGGTGCCTGGTCAATCTGAGTTGGAAGGTTGCAGAGCAGTAATATATCAAGATCATTCATACTACCTCTTAATATAATAAATCATGCATCTTGATATAGCTGTGTGTCAGACTGGAATTCATTGCTTACCAAAATTGTTATAATCCATCCTGAAAGCAATACCTCAACTTCTGTCTTTCCTACTATTTAGAACTCCCTCCCCTTACACCACTTGCCTGATGAAAGTCACATTCCTTAACTGAGTTGCTTTTCAAGGCTCTCAGCCACACGTCTCAGCTCTGTAGTTCTGTATTGAAACTTGAGTATTGATTCCTTATTTTCATACCCTATGCTTCCATAATTGTCTTGTAACTTTAGTTCAAAGCCCTTAAACGTTTTATTGATAAGTAGCTTGTGGTCTGGATTGTGTTTTAATTGATATCTGAAATTATTTTGAGCAAATGAAATAAATCTGTATACCTGCTTTTTTCCCCACAGGCTCTTTGCGTGTGTCTACACAGGAAAGAAAAACTCATGGTTAGCCCATGCCAGCTGACTCAGGTTCATGGGGCTCGGGCTGTGGGGTTGTTTCACTGCTGTGTAGACTTCCGGGCCCAGGCTGGAGCCCAAGCTCTGGAACCCTCTCACCCTGCAGGGTCCTAGAGCTTGGACTGGAGCCCAAGCCCATTTCTTCACTGTATAGACATACCCTTTGTGCCTGAAGAAGTAATTTTAGAGAGCTAAAACACTTTGTAGGCTAGATCTCTTGATTTGGCCTCCTAAATGGAGCCCAGAGGAACATAAAAAGCCCATCTAAATTTGTAAAAATAAATGCAAGTAATATAAGTACTAAACTAATGGTTCACACCAGTTCTGTGCCTCCAAGATCTGGAAAACACAGTGATGAATATTTCTGTTTGTTTCATTGCCCTGCCTGCAAGAACAGAACAAATAAGACTGGGTGTCTCAGAGGGAATCGGTATTGGGGGAAAAAGAAAAGGAGTACTTGTGGCACCTTAGACTAACAAATTTATTTGAGCATAAGCTTTCGTGAGCTACAGCTCACTTCTTCGGATGCATGCATTTTCAGATAGTGACGTAGCAAGTAGATTAAAGTCCATGCAGATCAGCCTGTTATTACTGTTGCTGGGTTAGGAGGCGGTCTAGCTGAGCAGACCCAGAGCCTGTTTCAGTGCAATTGATGGCAGTAACATTCTGGACATGGCTCTGCTGCAACTAGTGGAGGATTCTTTTCCGACTTCTCCACCCCTCATCCTTGATTGCTGTAGAAACTCCTCTGACATATTTGTTAACTTGAACGTGACAAAAGAAAATGGATAAGGCCTTTACCTGAACACCTAGAACTGGAATAACTTCCCTGGAGTTCAGTTCGTGGCTAGACAAAGGGTATGCCTCTTGAGATTGGGAGGAAATGTACTCTAATTCACTGAATGGTAGAAGGTGGGTGGACTTGGGATTCCCTAAAAGGTGTTTTGACAAATTGGATGGCCAGTTGACATTGTATCTCCTTGTAGCTGCCTGAGAAAGTATGTTGAGCCTTTTGGGGCTTTCCTCAAGACATCTGGAGGAAAAATGTTCTAGTATTAAGATTATTGAGCATATTTGTTTAATCAGAGTTCTTTGGATTTTCTTCTGGACGTTTAAGAAAAATTAGTTCCTCTGTCTCCAGAATTTCCTGTTCTATTTATACCGATATATTCTCTGAAATAATTTGAATAAAATTTTCTTTCACTTTGAGTCTGCTAAAAGAATAGTGTCTTGAGGAGTAAAGCAACCTAATGTAACAGTCCTCAAAACATGCTGCTACAACATAGAGAGCTCAGGGAAATTACCCTTCATCTTTCCTCTCTAGAAGCATTCTCCTCCTTCCCCCCCCATTCCCATGTTACAGCTGGACTTTTAGCCTTCACAAGATATCATACAAAAATGAACTGGAAAATACAATTCTTTAATACATGTGAATCCCAATTTATGAAAAATGTGTTTGCATAAAGCAACATGAATTCTTAAAGATTACAAGCAGTGATATGTGTAGTGATATCAGGAAGCAATGCAATTGCATCCCCTGTCCGTGATCACATTATGATTTAATTGCCTAAATGGATAACTTTCTATCTAAATATGATTAGGTTCTATTCATAGTAGTAGACTTGTTTTTTGAAATATCAGATGTTCAGCTGGGGCAGTAACTGATCTATAGTGGTACTTCAGGATATGCATATTGCAAGATGTGCAATAAGCCAGCTGCATTGAAGACGATTGTAAAGTAGAATGGTATGTAGAAAAGTTCATTTTTCAAATGTAACTTAAATTTCTTATCTCTTTTGGTAAATGGTATGTTTATATATTTTTTAAAAAGCACTTCCAAAAAAGTGTGTACATTTGTGGGTTTTGGTAAATTTGATATTTTAGGCATGTAAGTAGTCCTATTGATGTCATAGTTAGCGTTCACAGGGTTGTCCCTATTAATCTTAAACATTTGTAGAAAGCTGTAACTGTCGCACATTTAGATGAGACCCCAATGTATTCATTTAAATGTACAAATTTGGATAATTAGATTCTTCCCCCCCATATTTTGTTTACAATATCAGACCAACTGTGTAAATGTCTAGCTTCTTTAAAACTTCTGCTTAGACCTTTTGCCCACATCCTCTTTTGTTCCTCAGTAAACAACCAGACTTTCACTTTCTTCAGCCAATAAAATATTTGATTCTTTGACACAAGACACCCAGTTCCTCTGTGCATTAGCCTGTCTGTCTCTGTGCTAGTTGCAACTTCCACTCTGCTTGGAGTCAAGGAGGTCATTTCTTGTCCAGATCTAATGACCTGAGTCACAAGTTAGTAAGTAAGGCACCATTAGGCTTGGATGATATTATATTTTGATAGCTCTATTTGTGAAATTTTCCCTCATGAACTAGGTTAATCTTGAGTCTGTCAGCTGCCTTATCCATTGACTGCCCCTCCTCCAACTATTTGTTCAGAAAAAGCTGTATGTTGTAATGTCTTGAGTGTCATAACAGTATGAGTATTAACTGCTATTAAAGAGCAGTAAAAATGCTTTAATAACTAAACTGATAACTGTGCAACGGATACCATTTGCATCAGAGTTCAAACTTCCCCTATTAAGCCTGTCCAGTCTAGATCCTGTATGTATGGAAAGATTTCCAAATATCTTCAGCATTGCTTCTCTCTACTTCAGAATCTGATCTCCCTGAACTATTATGTCCATTTCAGTTATTGTAAAGGCACTTCTGATCAGAGTGAGTCACCTGGATTAGTGGTGTCTCTGGAATACAGATGGCATCACTGCAGTGGAAGGGTCCCTCATGAGTTCCTACGCTTCCCTAGATTGTGTTACTGTAAAAGATAAGGAGGTCGGTATTATAACAGCCATATTAGCTTTCTTCAACATCATTTTTTGTAGTTTAATGCTATTAGCCATAATGGTTGCTATATTATATGGAGGGAGCTCACTTTCTCCCGAATCAAGGATTGACATGAGACTGACCAGAAGGACAGGCCCAGCAAGAGGACTTGAAGTACTTGCAAACTTGACAAGGTCTTCATATGGAAGATGGCTGGGTGATACCGGGCAAGTTGCACTTGCATGCAAGCTAGACTTTCATATTGTTCTTAACATATGTTTTCTCTAGTGCTTTTGTTGTGAATAACTAATACTTTGCTTTATGAATGCTGGCTGATCACTGGTTAACCTTCTCACTGCCCCTGAGAGAACAGAACAGGTGCTGAACTAAAGTCAGAGTAGCTAAAGTGATCATAGTGAATTGCAGGAGGAATTGCAGCTAAATCCTGTTAGAAGCCTGAGATTTAAATGGGGTGCCCTCAAGAAAGCCACAAAGAGGTTAAAGATGTAGTTTTCCTGGGCACTACAACAATGAGTAACTTTTACTTTCTATAGTCATTACTTTTATTCTGTTTTTTTTTCTGCGGCATGCTACTGCAGCATTGAACTTCATCTTAATCCAGCAGTCTCTGCTGAAATTTTTAAAATAACATTTATACAAATTATTTTTTAAACCCATTGTTTCTACTTAAATTTTGGGTCTAAATTGCCCAGCACAATGTGTAGCAAGTGTATTATGAATTCTGACCAAAGAAAATACAAAAATTCTTCAGTTGCATTTTGCACTGAATTTATTTTTTAAAGGAATAAGTCTCCTCACTGCACTGAAGAGAAACTGGACTTCAATTGTTCCAAAAGTGTTCTTGATTCTAAAACTTTATTTTTAAATCCACAGCTGTCTAAGGAATGAAATAAAAATAACTATGTAGGACCTACAGAAGTTTATGCTGCTCTGTTTCAGAGCCAGCAAGATGTAGCCCAAGTTAACAGACTTTCCGTTTTAGGAGCTGGGTATCAATAGTTCACAAAAGCAGCAAGTAAAAGGCCTGTTAATTTCAAACTCCATTAGAAATGGGGTGGGGTGAGAGAGAGAGAGACTCTTGTCAAACGAGCAAACTTAATATGGAAAACAGTTTACATCTTCTAGAAAGGTATTTAAGTGAAGAGTTGAAAAATGATGTCCCTTTAAATAACAATACAATGCATTACAAAAACTACAAGGGGAAAAAACCTACTGTCTTGCTGCTATTTAAAGATAAAGATCTGTTTCGTGCCATTCATTTTTATTTGAGTCTTGTGTTGGGCAGTGGCTTGGTACAAACAGCTAAATGTTCTTATATTGTAACAGAATTTGCTGTTTTATTGATCAAAATAAACTCTACAAATCAGCTAATGGAGAGACTGAAGCTTCTTTATAAAATGAAGAGTAGTTACGAACAATCCACCATCAATAGGCTTGTTGATTGACTAAGCCAAATAATGAGCTGGCAGTACACTGAATGAAAACTGTGAAAGTTCTTGCTCTTGCTGCTGATGGAAATCTGACAGCTGTCTTAAAGTATTTTATACCCCTTGCCTTCCCTGAGTGGGCTTCCCCATTCTTCCAAAACAAGTCCCAGTGATCCCTGCCAGTTTTCCCCCCGTTCTAACTCACCTGCTACCACATATGGACTATTCTTCATCTGAGGACTGGAAGGGACTTCCTTCTGAGTTATCAATACTGTTCTTCAAATTAGCTGGCATGTTTTGGTATAGAATAATGCTAGTCTCATAGACTCACACTGGGTAAAGGGGGAAAAGGACCCTTGCCATCATTCTTCTAGCCTGGAGCAGGGATCAGAATCTGGCCTCAACTCTGAAACAGGGGTATTGGTTTGTCCCTGAGCCAGCCAGTTAATAATTTTTTTTAACTTGGTGTTTTATGGACAGTCTTCTGTTGTACAAGAACCTATGTGTCACTTTTGGTAATAAGGACACCTCTTTAAAATCCTTTGCCTCTTGAAAGACTGCAAAATCTCTCAACTCACATGACAAGTTTTAATAAGTGCACCAAGTGCAAATAAGTTCTCTCACTTTATAGTGTAACAGTTGCCCAACAAAACAGGGAGGACAATGCTCAGCCTTCCTCAGGGCAAGCTGAACTTTCCAGCTCTTCTCACTTTTAAAACTTTTGGGTGTGTTTTTGTTAATGTTCTTAACTTTATATTTTTATACTGCATACAAAT